CAAAGTACTGCTGCAGGACTTGATGGACACACCTTCAGTTCCAGCTACCACCAAACAACCACTGGAAGTGGTAGATCGGATCACTTATCTTGGTAGCTGTGTCATCTCTGGTGGTCACATCACTGAGGAAGTTACTCCGCCTATCAGCAAGGCCCGTGTGGCTTTCCAGGCACACAACCATCTATGGAGGCGGCGGGATATTAGCCTGTCAGTGAAAGGTAGGGTGTATAACGCTGCGATAAAGCGAGTTCGCGATGAAGACATCAAATGCTATGCTATGTTTGGCCTCCGGTGTTTGCGTAGTATTGTCCAAGTCTGGTGGGGACACCGGGTGAGCACTGTTTAGGTGCCGCAGTCTGTTTTTGGCCACGACTCTTCTTGGGCCTCTCTTGTGTGCTGAATGTTATTGCTTATGTTGGCTTGGCCAGGTCCTCCGTATGCCCCTTGACCGGCTTCCTCTTGTGTAGTATACGCGATGGCTGCACTAAGTTGGGTGAAACCGCCAGGTGGCCAGTCCATGACGTGGCATAGTGGCATGAAGAAATTGTCTGAGAGGCGGTCAGGCTGCTGCGTGCCGTCTTCTTGGATATCGGCCTCGGGATGGTCCACACCAATGGTTGGAGACCGTACCAGACATGGCGCAGTCACACAGTCAGTGGCATTCTTGCATCCGGTTTCCTGCATCTGGTTGTTACTTTTCATTACATTCTGATTAGTGTACCGCACTTCCTTCCTGCGTCCATTTTATTTGTATTCTATTTGCATTCAACCCCACTAGCTTGCCGTTGTTATTTATTGTTATTGCTTAGTGAGTCGTAGCAACTGGGTCCACCGCACTCGGCGCAACGCTCTGCGATTGCGTGGGTTGGAAATGAAGACAAGCGACTGCTGAAGCACGATGAAGGCTGGAGGAGAATTGTGGGGTTGAAAACGGGTGGATATAAGTGAAGTTGAAAGTGGACGATTAGGATGAAAAAGCGCAAGAGGAGGGATAAGGAGACGAGAACGTCTGAGCAGTAGCACCCTTACTCCTATCCACCCTGCTCGGTGCAGCAGATAGGCCGTGGTTGATTATCCTCTGCGACAGCCAGAGTATCAAGAAATTGTTTGCTCGTAAGGGATTTCTTGAACAGGTTAGTGTCAGGTTGCCTAGGCCTAGATAGGAGAACGATCAGGTTTCAGTCAAAGCCTTTGGTTACTACATTGCTGCAAGGCAGCAGGGTTGTGGCACTGAGCAACAGGGGGCCCCTTTTCATGGAGTAAGGAGCCAATATCACTCCAAACTCGGAGGTTTAGGAAACTGAGTTTTTCCGGCCTCTAACCATTGATCAGTCTGGTATGAGTGGCCGAAGCGTTCACACGCGTACTTTGTAATCCGCAGTTCGGGGGTTCGAGCCTGCATGGGGGCCTAGCGACCTTCGCAGTATCCTTAGCTCACGCGCGACTGTTGGGGGTTGCGCGGCAGCAAAGCGTCGGTACTGCGTAACGGCATACTGTTGTTTTTTAATGGCTCTGAAGGCGCATTATGCACCACCCAGTATAGCTCAATGGATCGTTGAGGCCCGCAAACCATCGTAATACGTTAAGATCCAGTTTCCTTGTTCTGGAATCGATCTTATTGACTATAAGTAATTCAGTCACCGTTGTTGCTAACTGCAGAAGTTTCAGACTACCACCAATGAAGCGATGCTACTGACCTTTATTTTAATCTGGAAAAGGAGTTTCGGGTATAAGAATAACAAGCCGCTTTTCGTTCAGAACGGCGCCGTACGGACCATCTGTTTCCTCTGTGGCAGATACCTTAACACTGTCACCCACTGTAGCCTGACTAAAGAACTGTTTGTTGTTCTCAACAGCTTGTTTGACTCATTTGACCGCTCCGTTCTTTTCTACCTACTTACTCTGGAAGGTGTTTCTATCGATTATGTGGGCATTCGCCGTGCTTTATACTCAGACACTGTAGGTCACATTAGAGTCTGCAACGATAAGAAATGGCGCCCATCAAAATTTCCAAATTTCCCCATTTGGTTAAATGTTATCGTGTATTCCGTCATGAACTATCCCATTGTAGACTGTCACGCATGGGCATTGAAATGCTGTCTTGTGGAAGATCTGTTGTTCCGCATTTTGCAGATATCGTTTTACTGTTGACGATCTTGAGGTAGCATAGTCAGCAATGGGAAAACTCACTGGAGTGATCCCATCATTTCTCATACTTTTCGCATCTCCAAAGTACTGTGTTGGTGCGAATCCACATGGCATCTGATAATGCTTTGAATTTCCCTAACGACGAATTAGAGCAAGCTTAACAATCTGCGAAACCTAAAAAGTGCATTCTAGAAAGTGCGATGTCTGCAGTTCCATCAGTCGCGTATACGAGGTCACACTAGCGACTGCTCTTCTTTATGAGAATAAGACTTGACTCCTTCGGTCGGAGGATCTGAAATGCCTACGAGTTTGACCGTCGTCTCTTTCGGAACATTGCTAGTGTCGAGTGGCACTGGCGCATCCGCAATGTCAATTTACGCTTATGCTTCTAAGTGATGATAACCAGGTTTGTTCCATGGAGTAACAAAAAATCAGTTAGTTATTCCCAAACTTTTACACTGAAAAGTTTCACTGGTTTTGGCACGCTGTCTTCATGCTTGCTCACTGCTTATCGACGATAAGCGGTCGGCCGAGTAGTCTGCACTCCTGGTTTGCAACCCTAAGGTCACCGGTTCGAATCCGCATAGGAGTGGGCGTCCTCGCGCTCTACTTAGCCCTCGCGCGACTGGTGGTGGTCGCATGGCAGCGAAGCGCCTTTACGGCGTACAGCTGGCGACTTTATTATTATTTCCTAAACAACGAGAGTCTGCTCTTCCCGGATGTAGTAAGGCCCAAGGTTTGATCGGGGCAGCAATGATGAGAAATGAAGTTACTGACTATCAAGCTGTGTTGTTGGCCTATCCTGTCTTCTGGACTATAGTACAGGCGACTCATTCTATGGGAATAATTGAGAATACCTGTAGCTCGTGAGAGGATTGTCCTGTTCCCCGAGCCAGGCATTTCTGTTGCACACGTTTCGTTACCAAACTAGGCAACATCTTCAGTTCGTCTATTCAGTTCTGACTGGTGGAGTCTCGCAAACTAATGCCAGATCCGAATGACTATTGATTGTTACCTACTTCGAATGTCAGCCTTCGATTGGTTCACCTGAGTCGGTCGAATGATCACGTCTTCTTGTCTATCTGGTGCCTATTGCTGGCTTAACCTGCAGAGCTTCGTAGACACCTTCCAGCTCCAGGTGTTTGTTGCTTGAGTTCCGGCTAGAATGCCAGGCCTCGAGGAACTCACGCGCTATGTGGTTTCCTGCTCTTCTAAGTAGTTCAACGTTCTGATCGAACTGATGGTCCTCGGCATCTATGTGTACTGACATTAAGAATTTCTCCACGTGGCGGCGGATGGCCAGGCTCTATGTACGTGCAGTCTTGCGCCAACTTTTCTTCCAGTCTGATCTACATAGCACTTGTCGCAGTTCTTGCAGGAAATTTTGTAAATTACACCTAATGTTTCTTCCTTACTCAGTTTGTCCTTTACCTTGAAACGTTTACTTCGAATGGTTTCCGTTGTTTCGTCTGCAACATTTATCCCGTGAGGCATTAGAAGCCTCGCAGCTATTTCAGAAATCTCGTGGATACAAGGTAGGATAATCCTTTTTCTTTTTGTTTCACATGCGGACGCGGGTTGTGACTGGATCTTCTACATCAGGCAGCGTAGAATAAAGCTTCTAGGATACACAATTCACTGAAACATGCTAAATAGATTGTCCTCCCCCGCCTTCCTCAGTTGCGTCGTGCTACAATGTGTCTGGGCCCATTTGAAAAGCTTCCTCATGTAACTTTGCTTGTATTTGGTCGGATGGTTACGGCGATACTTTAAGATCTGATCGGTGTGCATCACTTTCGATAAACTGTTGTTTCCAGTGACCCAGAAGCATGTCTTCTCACAAGCACTTCCAAGAATGGCAACTGGTCATTGTTCTCTTCCTCTTTGGTGAAATGAATGCCGGAAAAACTATTACTGCTTAGTTGATGTGTTTCTTGTAGTCTGGAGCATTTGAGGATGACAAAATTAACGTCTACGTAACGTACTCACTCTATGCCTGGCCTCAGACTTTACGCGACATGACTGACATCCAATCTTGCAGTTGCTGTCGTCTCGCTGACGGGCTGTTTGTTTGAAGTGTGCCCACTGAGTTATTTGTGGAACAAAGCTAGTTGGGATGCGGGGCAGTGAAAAACACAAGGAGCCTTGCCGATGCCGCCTTGTATTTGCACGATAGCCAGCTTTTTGTGGTTGTCTTGTTACTCGGCTGCGAGTGCCTTGCTTCTGAATGTTTGCTCAGGGCATTTAGGTTTTGCACTAGGTCCCCTCTTCATCCCCCTTGTTATTCATCTAAATACATATTTTTTGTCACCACGAATCTTACATCCACATGACTGATGTACCACTTTTGGTGCTTATTACTATTATTACTATTATTATTTTATTTCCTCGACTTCTCAGTTGGATTAAAATAAGCCGAGTATCACTTCCGACCTGGGTAGGCATTAGCTTTTAGTATGTTCGTTTCAGCGGTCCAACTCTACTGAATTGTATTGAATCCTTTGTCCATCACCCTTTCTTCAGCTAATACATTAAATGAACTATAACGGCGTTCTGGTCTTTCGTGACATCAGCCCTTATCTCACAAACCCTCAAAGATGGCTTCAATTTAACCGGGACCATTGTTACGAATTTCAAAGCCCACTTTGTTTGGAACTCTACTGCTGCCGTTCACATTTGTTACACTTTCATTAGATAACCGACTAATTTCCGCGACCAGGGTTTTTACTAGTGCTGCGCAGGAAAAGCTTTTCCTTTTTCCCTACTTGTTTATAATTTTTATTTGGCACTTCCTTTTGTCTAACTGACTTGCTCTCACCCCTTTCTCCATGCTTCCTCTATTTTGTACACAGTACTCCCCCAAAAATGCTTTCAATCTCGGGTTTTTCTCCCTCGGGGACTATTACCATTCTTGTGAGTTCACGTAGTATGAATGCTGGTTATTTAGACTACTGTGCACTAATTAGTTACCTGCATTTTGATAGCTCCTTGTGTCATTTTCCTGTTTTCGTTGCACAATGTACATTCTGGTATCCCAGCACTCAGTACCTATGGCTCATTCGAAAAATAGGACAAATTTCGCTGTTTCGTCCCGGCAGCTCACAAGCTACACAGTCCAGTCACCAATCCCGAAAAGAACCAGACGACCGTTTCGTCCTATTGGTGCTCGTCAGTAGTGCACCTCTTTCGGCTCCATCAGGAATATGACTTATGACCGCTAGCAGATTGCGCTAGCTAGCCTTGAGCTTATGCCATTGAGCCGTGTATGACGTTGGCAGACCGTACGAGATATAACGCGCCCCATGCTCCACCACCATCTGGGTTACTACCATTCCAGCGAACAATGGCCTGCGTCATGGATTTCAATCACAGCACCTACGTACGCGTACATTTTGAAGCATGTGAGAGCAGATTTCTGATTGCTGGTGAGTAGGAGGCTAGTTGGCGCAAGTTGCTAACGGTTATCGATTCAGTTCCTGATGGAGCCGGAGGATGTGCACCACTGGCGAGTACTAAAAGGGCGGAATGGCGGTCTAGTTCATTTCGGGATTGGTTCTGGAACTATCTGGCTTGTGAGCTCTTCAGACGAATCGACACAATTTCACCAAACCTTTACCTAAAACTTTTCTAGTGATGGTCAGCAACACATTAGTACTCTGTACCAACCATCCACTAAGAAATCCGTGGAACGTGTAAATGCCAAACCGCACTTACTGTCGCTTCCGTCGCTCACGAATCTTTTTCACATGCCACCTGTTCATATGTCAATAATCACTGTTCTACGTTACCTGCCGCTTTCTGTTTCCATTATTCTACTGTCGATAGTTCCATCGATACTCATAGCGTTTAACTAGTGCCCCTCCTTGGGTCCCGATCCTCTGGCATATTTCAATGTACGTACACTCAAAACTTGTCATGCTGTTCGAAATCGATGTGATAATCAGTAACAATCGGTTATTCACTAAAATACTATTTTTCCGGGAAATTCTTACTTTTTTGCACATGAATGAGTACCGCTGCATTCCCTAATCCTACTCGCAAGGTCTTCCAGCCAATCCGCTCTACTGGACGCGGAAAGCCTGGTGTCACTAATATTATCTGATAATGGGTTGGATCACCGATCTTTAACTTACTGAGGCGTTTGGATCGATGGACCGAGTATTTTCCTTCCCAGTTCAATTAGCCCTCATCGTCTTCTTGTGTGCGTGTGTGTAATTAACCGCATACTTTGGGTTGTCTTACCGGATCCATCCACTGCACACCTGAACAGGCGAATGATTCGGGTCCTTAATCAAAGTCTTCGATAAAATTCTGCCGTAAGGCAGCGGGAAATGTACCATGAAACAATTGGTCCACGTAGATGTGTCCTGATCCTTATACAAAGGAAAAAAACTTAACTCCCACCCAACGGCCGCCACGAGGAGGCTTCCAGGACATGATTGCACAGTAGAAGTAGAGCAGAAGTGGGTTAATTATCTTTCAGGAAGGCATGTAGATGTGAGCCGTAATTCGAAGCCGGCCCACATTCCAACTTACACATCACTCACTTGGATGAAGAGAAGCATTCATACCAGACGTGCGCACTGTAGTGGCTTGGCCATAGCCTGTTCTGCACTTTATGGAACCCCTGTTTGACAATAGTAACGCCAGGAAGCGTGTGCACCCCATCTCCCCCAGAAACGGCTCATTGTCTCCTGGAGCCAGCATAATCGGGATGGCGGTTTCTGACAGGTTTCTGACACCTTACTAACATTCACATCAAACGCGGTCGGACCAGGGATACCAATCAACAAGCACTGGAGCACGTACAGATCAACTGCAGCTATGATGTGGCACACGTGCCACATTTAGCGCATTATTGTCCTTAGTTAGTAAATGGCGTTGGAAACAGCGTACTTACCAAACGCTGCGCGGTTGCGGACCAATTCAATTTACTCGTCGCCTTTTCGATACTGACACCTCTTGGTCACGTTGATGGCTTACCGTACCGTCTTGGCTAAGGCACACCAGACTACATGTGCTTGATGTCGATCGACGCCTGTCGCTTCCGTAACTGGTGTTTTCCTTTCTGATGTACTAGTCCTTTCTGGTGCACCTGGTCAAGGACATTTTTGATGTGCTCACGCTATTGGAGGCGACACACTGCCATCACTTCCCAGCACCTAAAGTCAATATTAGTTCGTGCTAAACTCACCTTGATCATATCCTAGCAACGTAGCTTCGGTTTGCCCACGTTCCGCTTCCCTGTACTTATTTGGTCATATATTAGACCTTCCGGTATCTTCGTCGAATCCATCCAACGGATATGCCCGAGCCACCTCAGGTGTCTCAGCGGATGTATGCTACTTCCGCAGAGCTCTTCCGTGTCAGCGACTCTCACACCAACGAATGCACTGAATCCGACGGCGACACTGTTGATAAAATCGCCACAAATATTGGATGTCCTTCTGCTACTGCATGTCTTGCAACCGTGAAGGAGACCCGGCAGCGCCGTAATCATTATCCAACAGCAGTACATCAGCTATCTGAACTGATGCTTCCCTGCCATACAACTATGAGGACCTATGAAATAAAGAATAAGAAGAGGGAGAGAAGGGGGACTTACCTGAAAACCTTAATGCCCTAAGCAAACATTCAGGGTCAAGGCGCCTACACCTTGCGTAGTCAACAGACCGTCACAAACAGCTGGCTATCGCGCAAAGATAAAGCAGCATCGACGAGACTGCTTTCTTGCGGCTTTCAATGACCCGTGTCATAACCAGCCATCACCCCGCGGATAACTCAGCACTAATACACTTTAAACAGGCAATCCGATTAGGAGACGGCAGCAGACGCACCACTGGTGTCGGTTGCGAGCCATATCCTGTAAAGTCTCGAGCCAAGCACAAGGCGAGTCACGTGGACTCCAACCCGGAAGGCGAGACGGATCAACGGCACCCAGTTTGGTCGTCAGTGACTTCATTTCCCGCTGCCAGGTAAACTTCTGTCCACCTCGAGCCTTGCGCCATCCTACACCTGGTAGACTGAACAAGGCCCTCCTAGGTAAGCGGTGACCAGGCATACGTAGCACGTGCCCGAGCCAACGCAACTTATTCAGTGCTATCTGTTGTTCTAGGGAGCTAGCATGATTATCACCACCTAGTACTCGCCTACGCACATCATCGTTGCGGACACGCTGGTGCCATCCGACACCAGCAATGCTTCGCAAACAACGATGATCAAAGACTTGAAGGCGCCTCAGATCTTCAGACCGAAGGGGCTGTCTCACCACCATAGAGCAGAACGGCCCTCACTGTGGCCTTGTATACACGGCCTTTCAGACGAAGGGCAAATCGCTTCTGTCGCCAAAGATGACGCAGGTTCAAGAAGGTAGCTCTGGCCTTTGCAATGCGTGAGCTGATGTCAGTTTCTATGCGCCCATCATTGCTGATGCAGCTGCCAAGGTAAATGAATTTATCAACCACCTCGAGTTCCTCGTTAGCAAGCGTCAAGGGGTCATCGAGTGGCTGGTGGTCCTGCAGCAACACTTTGCACTTTGAAGGTGCGAAGTGCATACCAAATAATGTGACCATTATGGATAGGCTATTCAGGGTTGATTGTGACGCCCCAGCATCGTCAAAATGCAAGACGATATCGTCTGAATAATCTAGATCAACTAACCTTTCACCAGGCAGCACTTCAACGCCTACATCGTGAGATTCCGCAAGGAAACACTCCATGATAGAATCCACGACGAAATGGAACAAAAACGGGGAAATCGGACAACCCTGACGAACGCCACTTGTAGTCGGAAAGCTATCCGATAGGACACCATAGACCCTGACGCGGCCTGTAGTGTTCGAGTATAGAGCACGAAGGTTGTTCACATATTTCGTGGGAACACATTTCGCGCAAGTAATTCGAACAGAATCGATCGATCGACTGAATCGAACGCACTCTTGAAATCGAGGAACACAGGTATTGTCGGTCTGCGGTATGCGTGGCGCTGCTCTAGCACCTGCCGCAGAGTGATTATATGGTCTATACAGCCACGTCCTGGGCGGAAACCGGCCTGCTCTTTCCTAATCCGAGATTCCCGTTCCGCAGCGCTGTTAACCTGTACACTGTCAACTTGGTTCTAACGGTCGGCTGTTGACTCCTTCATACACGTTGTTCCAGCTTACAAAATGAAGCCCTGGTGTGCGACTCGCTACTCGACTGCAGATCCGTTGACAATACACGAGATTCTGATGAGGTTTTCAAATCTTCACCAGTAGAATTTACGGCAAGCCGACGGATTTCGTTCCTGGTGGCCGAAAAGGATAAACAGTCGTGCTCGTTTTGAATTTGGCAGCCACCGAAGCGAAACCTGTCGTCATGCACTTCAACTTATCCTCGCTCTTCGCTAAATACGCGCAGTCTTAGGTAAATAACATCATCCGGATGGTTGTCTCACGCACTCTGGTTGTCACCCCGAAACGACGGGTGCGCTGTAATCCGCCATCAGTACGATACTCGAGATAGATACCTTAATGGCAGTTGGGCATATAGGGTTGGCGACATCCGGTTCCGGATTTGTCTGTCACTGCGACCCCCACGAGGACAGCCACAGGACGCTCGCGCCTGCAGAGGAACCATGGGTGACTTGCGCTGCACGACTCACAGTTCCATCCACACATTCCATATCCAGTGTAAACCCGAAAGAATACCACCGGGAGGCATGTGGATGTGAGCCACGTTTCATCAACGGATCCGGCCCACACTCCTTCAACAAGCAGCACAAAAACATTCATGCCTAATTGAGAAACCATGCATACCAGAGGTACACAAAGCGATGGCTGGGCCGTAGTTCACTCCACACTAGGTGGAACCACTTATTGAGCCTAGCACGACCCCGAGTGCCGTGCACTCCTTCCCCCCCAAGCAATGATTCA